AGTAATTTGGTAATATGATCTTTGAAAATGACGAACACATTTTGTAAATAATCAGAAATGTAACAAGGTAACATGTAACAACGTTTTAAAAGCTGAAAAAAGGATGGCTTTGGTCAATAAATGTACCTGCAACTATTCACCTTATTCTCCGCCGTCGAGCGGGCGCTGCCATCTGAATCTTTTTGGCTCGAGACTTCCGGTCTCATTCACTTCCATTCATTTTTTGACGTTAAAAACTGCTCGTTACGCTGCTTGATGTTGCAATTGGATATTTTCTTCTTATATTATTCTACTTGGTCTGTATAGTCAGGCAAACATTTGTTTGTAGAGCAAATAGTTTTACCATTTTCTGCCGTTTATTATTCCTAGTCATTTCTCCCATATGCGACTGAATCGGAAGTTCTAAGACAATCGCGAAAACAGGCGCACTTCCGCATTTTAGAATAAGGTCAATAGAATCACCCATATAGTTCATGGAGAGCAACATGCTTTTCTGGAGTTTTCTTGCAAAACTTGGCAAACATCACTTAAGCAGGTAAACACTGAGATAAATATAGTCTGCAGTACAAATAATAGTTTTGAAATAAAAGTTAGTTTGCTTTTATTAAAATGACAGAGAACATTTAAAAAGATAAATACATTACTTTAAAAATGCTATTAATTATTTTATTACCTTTGCAATAATTGTGGCGACGCAGTGGCGCAGTAGGTAGTGCTTTCGCCTCACAGTAAAAAGGTTGCTGGTTAGAACCTCGGCTCGGCTCACTTGGCGTATCTGTGTGGAGTTTGCATGTTCTCCCTGCGTTGCCGTGGGATTCCTCTGGGTGCTCTGGTTCCCCTCACAGTCCAAAGACATGCGGTGCAGGTGAATTGGGTAGGCCAGGGGTGTCCAAACTCGGTCCTGGAGGGCCAGAGTCCTGCAGATTTTAGCTCCAACTTACCTCAACACACCTGCAAGGATGTTTCTAGAAAGCCTAGTAAGAGCTTGATTAGCTAGTCCAGGTGTGTCTGATTGGGATTGGAGCTAAACTTTGCTGGACACCGGCCCTCCAGGACCGAGTATGGACACCCCGGGGGTAGGCTAAATTGTCCGTAGTGTATGAGGGTTGCAGCTGGAAGGGCATCTGCTGTATGAAAACAAGCTGGATAAGCTGGCAGTTCATTCCACTGTGGTGACCCCAGATTAATAAAAGGGACTAATTCTTTTATTTTTGGCCCACCCGAAATCTCACTTGGCCCACCCTAAAGTTCCAAACTGGAGCCGGGCCTGAAAATATATGTTCTAAAATGCATTTGTTTGAGGAACTGGCAATATTTTCTGAACCCCTGAAATGAAGCAACTTGATTTACTAAAACCAATTGTTCATTGGGCATGGGCTGGTATAAGATTCTGTCAGTATGATAACCTTGGATAAAAATATCACGGTTTTACAGTTACACGATATTGTGGTTGCTGCTCTAAAATATATTTTTTTAATGTCTGGGTAAAAAACAACCTTTTTCCCATTGAACACAATATAATTTATTTTAAAGGGCACCTATGATGGAAAATTATATTTTGTAAGCTGTTTAGACAGAACTGTGTATAAGGTGTAGAGCAGGGGTCACCAATCTCAGTCCTGGAGGGCCAGTGTCCCTGCAGGATTTAACTCCAACTAGCATCAACACACCTGCCTGGGTGTTTCAAGTATACCTAGTAAGACCTTGATTAGCTTGTTCAGGTGTGTTTGATTAGGGTTGGAGCTAAAATCTCCAGGACACCGGCCCTCCAGGAACAAGTTTGGTGACCACTGGTATAGAGTTTCCACAGTCATATTGGGGTGATATAAAGACAATAAGTCTCTTTTAAATTTCCTGACGTTATATGATCTAAATCCCTTCCATTTTGAGGCAGACCGCAATGAGGTAGGAGTGCAGTTTCACCGCCCACTGAATTGATTACACACACACAGCCACATATTAACATGTCTCGGTAGTAACGTGTATAATCATATCAACAAGACAGGGGTAAGTTTCTGAAAACCATCATTAGCCAACTAAGGTCGCAAGTTCTGTCATTACAAACATCATCTGTTGATTTGAAATTTCACAAACCTGTTGTTTCAACGAGCATTCGCAAACTGCGGAGCAAACTTGTATGCTTGCAACTATACCTCTGAAGCTGTAGTTAGAAACAGTTCCTGGTTGTGTTCAATTCCCACTTATCCCCCCTTTCCCTATTCATTTAGAACATTCTTACATTTAACCCTGAAATGATTAAAAATAAAAATAAAAAAACTTTAAAGTCCTCTCTTAGGTATAGTTTTAGCGATCTTCATGTTTACAATTGCGCTCTCTTCACAGTGCACTTTGAAAACATTGATATCATTTTGAACACAGCCATGGCTCATGACGAAAGCTATAAATGACCTATTATTTTAAAAGCTAAATTTATATTATGTGGCTCCACGATGGCGCAGTAGGTAGCACGTTTGCCTCACAGCAAGATGGTCGCTGGTTCGAGCCTCGACTGGGTCAGTTGGCATTTCTGTGTGGAATTTGCATTTTCTCCACATGTTGGTGTGGGTTATCTCCGGGTGCTCCGGTTTCCCCCACAAGTCCAAAAACGTGTGGTAAAGGTGAACTGAATAAGCTAAATTGTCTGTAGTGTGTGTGAGTGAGTGAGTGGATGTTACCCAGTGATGGGTTGCAGCTGGAAGGGCATCCGCTGTGTAGAACATATGCAACATAGATCATCATTAATATTATTATTAAAGTCGTTTTTTTCATTTCCTAATAAATAATAAATATTAAATTTAATTTCTTAATAAATTGTCTCAATATTTATTTATATGATTTATATATGAGATTAAAATACATGTTAGCTTTTGTAAGTGATCATATGTTTTAGAATAGAATATGTCATATTCTCAATAATATTTGTAAAGGAAACACCGGCCCTATATGTGCCATTTACATATATTTATAAACTTTGAGCAGTTCCTAAGGAAATGTCTATTTTATTTAACTAATTCACTAATGAATCTGACTTTTAGTTCTATTGAAGTAGAGAAATTATTTTGACAAGTATTTTAAGGGCTTGCTTCTTTCCATACATATTTAGCTAAATATCATTAAACAATTATTAGTAAATCATTAGTAAATTTATCAAGTGCAAAATGCCACAAGGTGACCTTTGTGTTTTATCATTTGATCGATGACTGATCTCCTTTCACTGAAACGAACCGATTAGCTTAGAAAGTAATATTCAGACACTTTAAACTTAAAAGGAATGATTAATAAACGATAAATGAGACGTGTGTGTGTGTGTGTGTGTGTGTGTGTGTGTGTATGTGTGTGTGTGTGTGTGTGTGTGTATGTGTGTGTGTGTGTGTGTGTGTGTGTGTGTGTGTGTGTGTGTGTGTGTGTGTGTGTGTGTGTGTGTGTGTGTGTGTGTGTGTGTGTGTGGAAAAGTTATGCTTATTTATATTAAAGGGATAGTTCACCCAAAACAAAAAGTGGTTCCAAACGTTTACGAGTTTTTTTTTTTTTTTTACTGTTGAACACAAAAGAAGATAATTTGAAGAATGTTGGAAACCAGTAACCACTGACTTTCATTGTAGGAAAAACAAATACTATTAAAAGCAATGGTTACAGGTTTCTAACGTTTAAGAAAAAGATTTGTGACAAGTGATTGGAGAGTAAAAAATGGGTTTTGGATGTGTAAAAAAATATTAAAATATAAACCTAACTTCAATTTATGTTTTAAGTCAAAATACACCAAAATACCACGCGTAAAAAGCCACGCAGGGATCGTTAAAGGGATAGTTCATCCTAAATTGAAAGTGGTTCCAAACTTTTATGAGGGCTTCTTTTAACTGTTGATCACAAATATAGATAACTTTATCATTTGATAGGTGACTGATCTCTGTTCACTGAAATGAACCGATTAGCTTTAAAAATAATAATAATAATAATAATAATAATAATAATAATAATAATAATCGGACACCTGAAACTTAAAAGGAATGATTAATAAATGATAAATGAGACATGTGTGTTTGGAAAAGTTACGTCTAATTATATTAAAGGGTTAGTTCTCCCAAAATTGAAAGTGGTTTTTGAGCATTTATGAGTTTTTTATTTGATCGTTGACTGATCTTCCTTCAATGAAATGAACCAATTAGCTGTAAAAAATAATAGTTGGACACTTGAAACTTAAAAGGAATGATTAATAAATAATAAATGAGACATGTCTGGAGAAGTTAAGTTCATTTATATTAAATTGATAATTCACACAAAATGAAAAGTGGTTAGACGTTTACGTTTTTTTTTTTTTTTTTTTTTTTTTTACTGTTGAACAAAGAAGAAGATAATTCGAAGAATGGTGAAAACCACTAAGCATTGACTTCCATTGTACTGTAGGAAAAACAAATACTACTAAATCAATGGTTACAGGTTCTAACATCTTTAAAAATAAGAACAAGCAATTGGAGAGTAAATGATGCGTTTTGGGTGTGTAAACGAATTATTAAAATATAAACTTATTGTAAATTTCCGATTTTAAGTCATACACCAAATAGGCTACATTTCACAGAGATGGGTTGCGGCTGGAAGGGCATCCGCTGTGTAAAAAACATGCTGGATAAGTTGGCGGTTCATTCCGCTGTGGCGACCCCGGTTTAATAAAGAGACTAAGCCGACAAGAAAATGAATGTATGAATGAATGAATGAATGACATCAAATACCATGCGTAAAAAGGACACGCAGGGATCATTGCGACTATCGATCATTTGGACCGGTTCATTAAACGAACCGATTCACTAAAAATGATTCGAACTTCTCGTCGCTGAGAGAGAGAGAGAGAGAGAGAGAGAGAGAGAGAGAGAGAGAGAGAGAGAGAGAGAGAGAGAGAGAGAGAGAGAGAGAGAGAGAGAGATGTTCTCTAATCAGTGACTGAGGGGAGGCGGGCCAAGAAAGCTCAGTGTAATGCGATCGCTGCGCCGCTCAGAAATGCTATTACACACATACTGACTCACTGACACACACACATACACACACTCAGACTCGCGCTTTCGAGCACATCTACACGCGCTGCCACAGCAGTGCGCTTCAACACGCTTCTGTGCGCAACACCAATTCCTCTTTTGCCTGGCAGTTTGGACAAAACTTGCTGCCTCCTGGGTATGACTGAACGACTAACGAGAGCAAGAAGATAGCAGAACTCTTAAACTCGGAGGGCTGCGGGCGATTAAGGGAGAAATCCCTGCGGAAACCTCAAAGCATCGGAGACCGATAAGGCAATGGAGCGCAATAACGCACGCAAATCTGAGACGGCGTTATAACGGAATACAGTTGAAGACCTCTAATTTAGTTTTGTTTGAAGAAGAGGAGGCTGATTTATGTCCAAGCATGACTTTTTATGAATACATGAAATAGATCATGTTTTGCACACTCTGCATTTGCTGTGCGCAATGGGCTCAACAGAACTGCATTTGAATATGAAATTCTGAGCATTATTTAGACAAAAAGGCTGGTTTTATAATATTTTCTCAGTCTGAGTTTGCCATTTGTTCTTGAAGAAGATAACTAGTTGAACACAGCTCACTTCTTCAAGCACATTTCGGAAAGATGGATTTCTGGATATCACACCAAGGGATTGCATTTATCTTTTGCTTCGTTCTGAAAGTCAGCGCAAAAGAAAGTAAGTTCGTCTTATATTTGTTTGTCTCCCACGAACTTTCATTGCGATATCTGTGTGTCTAAATTCCCATCCAGTGAGGCTATCCGCAAATGGCAAACAGATTTCTCTCCTGGCGAAGCGAACGCGTGTTTCTGCTGTCCAGGCAAACCGTGCTGAGGAAAGGAGAGCTTCTGGTTTTATTTAGTGGAGAAAGAGCAGCTTTATACCTAATGAGAGGCAGCCGTAATGGCAAACCGATCATTTGAGCCCCGGGGAAATGCTTCTTTTGGACTGTTTGCTGATATTATTAGTTTGCTGAGATATTATCTCTTTCCACTTATTTGCAAAGACGAAACAGAGACAGACTGACCTTAGGATGCTGGATAACTTATTTTCAGAGCAACTGCTGTTGATTTATATCCAGTTGCAAAAGAGTTTCAATTAAAAAAGCTAATAAAATAAATAAATAAATAAAGCTAATTAAAAAGTTAAATGCTCTTAGAAATTGATTATATATATATATATATATATATATATATATATATATATATATATATAGCATATATATATATATATATATAGGCCTATTTTTTATTTATTTATTTATTTATTTTTTTCACCAAAAATCACAAGTTCTAAGTGCACATAAAATAGCACCACATTTTAATGCTGAACTGAGATGAAACTGCTAATTAAAATCTTATGGTATTGCAAAGAATCACAGAAATGGCTTAGGAAAGCTGCGGAAATCAATAACAAGCCGTGTAACTGTAACCTTCTGAGAAAATACTTCGCATCACGAGTTTAATAGTCTACAAGAGACAAGATTTGGGGTCTAAACAGGGCTAGTGTTCAGCTGAATGACCAGTGTGTGGAGTTTTTGAGCTTGTTGTGTATACAGAATTAAATTAGACGCGGAGTAGCCCTACTGTATGCAATTGAATGATTACGATAGTCATGTATCAAATGTGCGCCATTCCGACTTCAAAATGTACAACCACAGCCAGAATGTAGAGAGAACCACGTTTTGCTGCTTTACGTTTATAGAGAGTAGCCTATGCTGTGTCAGTATTATGCATATGGTGTCAAACTATTCTTATTTTTTTTTAGAAAACATGACAAATCGGCTACTATCACTCAAATGACGGTTACTACATGCTAACCGTGCTATCAGTCAGGGTTACCTGAAAAGAACCTCGCCAGATTGAATAGTCTGGTTGACATTTCTTTAAAAAGTAGACTGCAAGAGTCTTTGAATTTGGTTCCTTACCGTCAACATACCCGTTGACTACGTTTTGCGCTTGTTTCTGGTCATTGTTGGTATTCCTGAGGGGAGTCACCGCGCGAATTGTACAAAACATGTACGTTTATCGGGTTTGGTTAATTGATATGTGTTTTTTCTCCCATTTAAGCCGGAATAGTAAAACAATGGTTCATTAGAAGCTGTCAATAAGCTACACAGAAGTGATAAGGTTGCAAAAACACAATGCTTTCCAAGTTTTCATTATAGACTGTTTCAAGATATTATGAACAATACATCGTTAACTGTAAAATTAACAGCCATTAAAATAGCTAATTTGGTAATTATCTGATATACACCCCACTAATGTTTTGGGTAAGTGTTCACTAAAAGTATACTGTATGACAATTATATATTACCCTTTTCAAAATGTATTTATAGTGCAGCCGCACCTGCAGTTTTAGGCCAACAGGTTGAGGAAAAAATGATGAAGCAGCTTGAATTAGTGGTGAAAGGTCTTCAAATAGGCTAATGGAAAGTTACAGATGTGGATGAATGAACCTCAGAGTCTTCATTTGCTAATAGATGACACTGCGGATTGATTTAGGCTCTCTTCAGTTGTTGCATTATTGTTTTTGACATGAACAAACTTTCATTCTTGGAGCAGATGGCTTGCGAGGACGGTGGTATTGCAAATTATATTTCCGCAAAGGAATAAACACTTTAAAGTGGGTAAACTGAAGCAGCTTTAGAAGTAGGGCACATGGTCTTCCAGAAATGAAGCACAGTGTTCAACAGATGAAAAGAAATGGTGCTTTACAATGTTGTTCATTGTCTTCAAGCACTAGCTATGTCTGTAATTAGGTTTTGATAATTGTTTTCATATTTTTATTCAGGGGGTAATGTGTTTAAACAGATTTGATTTGTGAGCTCAAATCTTGTGCAGACATTTATGGTGTTATTTCAATGTTGGGTGTTAAAAAACCCATTTTGACCTCAGCCTGAATCTGCACACATGCAGGTACTTCTGTAACGCTCTCCCTCCCGGAGCGCCATCGACTCCAACAAGCACAATGCATTGAATTATGGACAACAAAGAAACAGCGTCTCTCTTGTGTGAGATCCATGCCTTTAGGGGCTTTTGTCCTGGCCAGAAAGTGACATGTAGATCAACACAGAGCAAATTCAGACTGTCCATATGCTTTCTTTTATTCACAAAACTCAATGTTGACCTGCTTTTATTTTTGTACCTCCTAATCAAGCATCTCGCTGAACATTGCACTCAAATATGGAAAGTTCTATATTTATTTAGCAGATGTTTTAACCATACAAGACTTCTCTTTGAAAAGTAAGGATCAAAATTGTTTTAATTCACTTTAAACTGCACTTTTTTTTGCATTGCTTTGCAAGTTTTAGGAACTGCTGATGTAATAAGAAGGAGAATATATATGTGTTTAACCTGGTGTTTACTCTTTTGAGTGTTTGCACATGTGGCAACATAATAGATGATCTCCATAGTGTTTCAGTGCAGCTTCAATGCGGTTTAAAGTTTGTTGCTATGTTTTTAATAAGACATTTGTGGTGTTTAATTACTGCCCTTCTCTGAATCTGTATTATTGTGGGCATTTGATCCATGCATTTGACCATCCACTTGGCAAAAATATGCTTGGTATTTGCTTTGAGAGATAATAACAAGTTTCAAGTCTCCAAGTTGCACAGTTTGAGGTATTGTTTATGTCTGTAGCAGACGTTTAAAGAGTCAAAACAGTGTGAGAACTGCTCAAAAGAGATGTTTGCTCATGTTGGAAGCTTTCATTTACAGTTTACCTCTAGGACAGTTTCTTGGGTCCACTCTGTTTAATATGACACACCTGATTATTACACGATTAAAAGAGAGACATATAAATACTTCATGTGAACAAACAAAGCGCTTAGTTTTCCCTGGCGGTTTTTCAAACGAGACAAAGACGCAGGCACATATCTACTGACACATATACACGTCTTCTTTTCATCTACAACACCCCGAGTGGTTGTGTATGCCGTTTCATCCTATTTTTCTGGGGTTCGTGAATAGTAGAAGTACTTATCTATGCAGGAGCTAATAGTCTTGACTCTGAAAAGAAGGTCAGAAATTTGCATTTGGGGCCGGGAAACCACGACCGGATCAATCCCTGCAGAGCCAGTGGGTGCGAGCATTCCCTGGGTTGCTTGAATTGAGGAGGAATTAAAAATATAGCATAAATAATTGAAACGGCTCCTCCTAGTTACTGTCATTTTTGAGCTTTTAGTGTGTGGGTGTGAGAGAGAAGACAGACAACGTGACACATTGATGTTTGTAAATTAGGGCACCGCAGAAGTTTCAGTGAATGATGACTGTAAAATTTATGATGCACGGTCACTGGGAATTGGTGATTGAAGTGTCTTATAAAATTTGATGCGTTGAATTGCATTCAAAGTCTTTGTAAAATGCATGGACACTTGAGACAGCACATAGAAATAATTTGTTGTTTGTTACTTTGAAATAGATTTAAATTGGTCTTATATATTACATTTGTTGATTAATGTGATTGCTATTAATACACTGCCTGACAAAAGTCTTGTCGTGGATGCAAGTTTTCAGAACAACAAATAATAACTTGAATTCTAGTTAATCATTTGGTATCAGAAGTTGCTCATATGAAAGGCAAAGGCCTCTAGATTACGCTTATTTTACCAAAATAAAATATGATCATGCTTTGATTTTTAAATTATTTAATTTGGACAGTAAAGTCTGACTTTGCTTAGACAAAAGTCTTGTCACTTAACAGAAATAATGTACAGTATAGAATATAAAGTCATGCTGCAGTGGAAACAGAATGACTATTGTGTCTGACTCCCATGAGCTTGGAGGACTGCATCCATACATCTCTGAAATGACTCAAATCACGTATTAAGTCATCTGGAATGTCAAAGAATGCATTCTTGCAGGAATCCCAGAGTTCATTAAGATTCTTTGAATTAATCTTCAATGCTTCCTCTTTCATCTTAACCCAGACATGCTCAATAATGTTTATTTCTGGTGACTGGGCTGGCCAATCCTGGAGCACCTTGACTTTCTTTGCTTTCCGTTTGCTTTCAACTTTGATGTGGAGGCTGAAGTTTGAGAAGGAGCGCTATCCTGCTGAAGAATTGTCCCTCTCCTGTGGTTTGTAATGTAATGGGCAGCACAAATGTCTTGATACCTCAGGCTGTTGATGTTGCCATCCACTCTGCAGATCTCTCGCACACCCTAATACTGAATGTAAGCCCAAACCATCATTTTTCCTTCACCAAACTTGACTGATTTTTGTGAATATGGGTCCATGTTAGTTCCAATAGGTCTTCTGCAGTATTTGTGATGATCAAAGTGCAATTCAACCAATGATTTATCTGAGAAATCTACCTTCTGCCACTTTTTCAAATGATCAACTAGAAGTCAAGTTATTATTTGTTGCCCTGACAGCAAGACTTCTGTCAGGATTAAAAGGACAATTTACTAAGAAATGAAAATGATGTCATGCTTTACTCACTGTCAACCTTTTCTAAACTATTTTGTTTTTCTGTTAAACACAAAAGAAGACATTTTAAAGAATGTCAGAAGCCGACAGCCAGTGATTTCTATAATGTCTTTATTTCCTACTTTAGATGTCAATGGCTACTGGTTTAAACGTTCTTCACAATATCTTGTTTTCTTTGTTCATCAGAAAACAGTTTAGGACCAATAAAGTTTAGAGAGCACCTGAGGGTGAGTAAATGATAAGTA